TGGCTAAAGGTAACAGAAGTCTAGCTAAAGCCACAAAAGCCTGGCTAAAGGTAGCATAAGGCTAGTTAAAAGTAACAAAAGCCTGGCTAAAGGTAGCAGAAGGCTAGCTAAAATTCACAAAAACCTGGCTAAAGTTAGCATAAGGCTAGTTAGAAGTAACAAAAGCCTGGCTAAAGGTAGCAGAAGGCTAGCTAAAATTCACAAAAACCTGGCTAAAGGTAGCAGAAGGCTAGCTAAAATTCACAAAAACCTGGCTAAAGGTAGCAGAAGGTTAGTTAAAAGTCACGAATGCCTGGCTGAAGGTAGCAGAAGGCTAGATAAAGCCACAAAAGCCTGGCTAAAGTTAGCAGAAGGCTAGCTAAAAGTAACAAAAGCCTGGCTAATGATAACAAATGTCTAGCTAAAAGCTAAAAGTTGCAAAAGGATAATTCAAACCTAAAAGTAGCAGTAGGCTAGCTAAAGTAACAAAAGCCTAGCTAAAGTTAGTAAAAGTTTGGCTAAAATGAGCTAAAAATATTAAGTCTAAGTGTTGATCAAAACTAGATTTTTTCTATAGCTTAGATATTTTGTGTCTTTTTTGACAACAAATATAATATTTAAAGTATTTAAAGCAAAAGTCTTGCTAAAAAATAAAATATTATATGTCTAGCTAAAAGCTAAAAGTAGCAAAAGGCTACTTCAAACGTAATAATAGCATAATGCTAGCTAAAAGTAACAAAGGCCTGGCTAAAACAAGCTAAAAATATTAAGTCTAACTAAAAGTGTTGAACAAAACTAGATTTTTTTTCCATGTCTCAGATTTTTTTGTGTCTTTTTTTAGCGGGTCATCTAATTGTAAAGTGAAGAAAGTATTTAAAGTGTCCTGAATGCATCAGTTAGTTTGCCAACGTCTCCAGCTCCTGATGCTGACTGCAGCAGCTCTCCTGGAGAGATGTGCTGCTCTCTAATTTACAATGCAGCAAGACGCCCATTATACCTAATTGTTGGACTTCAGACTCCTGCAGATCTGCCCCCCCACCCCCCCCCCCCCACACACACACACACCAACAGTCAAACTGCTGACTCCTGCTATAAAGTCCCAGTTAAAGTGTTGAATATAAAACCTAACTTTACAGACAGAAAACATTTCATGTCCAGGAGAGAAGTCGCTGTATTTGACATTAAAAATAGTTTGTGGCAACTTTAAGGTCAGAATTCAACAAAGTGTTTGACGTTAATCTGAATCCTGTGATGTTTGTTGTTACAAAAAGCAAGAAAAGCTTGTTAAACTAACACAAGTGTTATTCTCGTTCCCTCAGCTTCGGCTACTACAGCACGTCAGCCACTCCAGCTCCAATCAAAGCCCTGACCGACCTGAAACACCAGCTGGTTAACCCCGCCCACCCCGCTTCCTTCTCGTCCTCCTCGGACATGGTGGTCATCCATCCAGGGGCCGTCTTAGCCATGTTGGACCTGCTGCCCTCCGTCTGCTCTGAGAGCCAGCCAGAGGTGAGGAAAAAACAGAAAATATCTCAGCTAGGTTCGAGCACTACTGTCCTGGTTTTTTTTTTTTATAAAACATTTTTATAAAATAAAAATATACAAAATGTATTTTAACAAAAACAACCAGGAAAGTTAGCGTTTTACTAAAATGCACTTCATGACAGCTAAAATGTTTTTGAATGGAAGAAGACAAGAATAGACGCTAAAATTAGTAAAACGAAAAAAAAAAACCCACAATTATTAAAGCTGTTATTAAAAACTACTGCTAATAAAACTGTTGTTCAAATAGTACCAAAAAGCTAAAAATAGGAGCAGAGTAGCTAAAAGGAAAATTGATAAAATGATAAAAGATAAAATGATTAAAACCGTAATCAAAAGCTAAAATCAGCAAAGCTAAAAAGATTTGCGAAGCAGTTGCTGAAGTCCAAATCCAGTCAAAATGTAAACAAAAACTAAAATTAGCATAACAGTGGCTAACAGAAAAATAAATAAAACAACGTTCACAGCTAAAATTATCAAAACATTAATTAGAAGCTAACCTAAACCTTAAAGCTAAATTTTGCAAAGCTCTCACTGAGATATAAAACCAGCCAAAATGTAACTAACAGCTAAAATCAGCATAATAGCTAAAAGCTAAATGAAGCAAACAATAGCTAATAACCCAGCTAGCTCTAAGAGCTAAAATTAGCAAAATTGTAAATAAAAGCTAAAATTTGAAAAAGCATAACTAAAAGCTAAAATTAGGAAACGCATAAGCTGAAATTAGCAAAGCTGTAGCAAAAAGCTAAAAGAAATAAAAAGATACAAATACAGTAAATATGCTTAAAAACTGTAGTTTTGGATATTTCTGTAAATAAGTTTTTAAAAGGTAAAAGTTTCACAAAACAAACATTTCAATATTGAAATAGTTTTA